CTGTTACCGGGACACTTTTCACCACTCTTTCTCAGCGCTGCCACCTCTCTTTCTCTCCAAATGGATGTGTCCCTCAGACCATGAGTCTGTTTTGACGGCATTGCATTCTTCCTGCGGCTTGTCAACTTTGACGTTACCCCCCATCCATCACTGCCCGCCGCGGCACCTATATGCATTAAATATCGAGCTCCGTGGAAGGGAAGAGTCACACGGTACGCTCACTTGGCAGGTCTGAAGGGAATCTCCCCATCTGATGATCAAGCTCAGTTCTCATTCTGTGTTGGCTGGGACGATTGTTGAAGCAGAGAGAAGCAGTTATAGCGAAGGTTTCATTATTTCCCTAATGTGAAAGCACAGCGGGAGCATGTGTATGTTTTATAACAGCAGAACGGCAACAATATATATGCAGACGCGTGCATTTACCCATGTACATGCATGAACAAATATCATCTGCAAACACTTTTTTTTCATCTTCATATATGCAAACACACCTAGCTTAATGCATTTAGCATGCAAATGACAGCAGAAGTGGGAAGAAGAAAAGGGAAACAGTTCCCATTGGATTTTCACGACTGAGTGGTGAAAACACTTCACATCTGAACACCATCAAAGGAAAACATCTTTGAATTAGCAAGCAAAAGGTGAAAATGCAGCGCTTTGTATTCTTCAAACAGCCTCTCGTACGTTCCCACGCTTACGACGCTCCTCGGCGTGGCTCGATAATTGAGCTATCAAGTTGGGATTTTGATCCGTGCACATCCAGGCTTATGCAACAGGCGGTTTAACTGTTGACACATCTGCACATCTCCCTCTGTTGTGCTTTCACCCATTAAAAATGTACGGAAATCCTGCCAATTTCAGAATTGCCGGCTTTTCCATGTGTGCACAGAAGAAGACTGTGGCATTCTTGACAGTTTAGTATTACATATTTAGTATTTAGGAAAGGTCCCAGGGTCATAATGTAATACCGTTGGGAGAATGTCAGCTGTCAAGCACAGCGAAGGGGGTGGAAGTTGAAGGAAGTGTGATCAATGTGATGGCAGCTGTGGAGGAACTGCTCCTTCATAATGTGAACAGGTGACCTCCAACGGATGAAGTGGTTGAGTCCACGGTGTTTAATTTCTACATTTACACATATATTTGTCTCACGTTTGTCTATTATGGGTTTACGGTGAGGTGACAGAAGCTGCTGAAGCTCTAAGCTGCCTGGAGGTTGAATGGATGCATGATGAGTTAACGCTCCATGGTCCTCGCCAAGTAATAATATCCTAATCTATCCTCCATCACTCTGACATAATTTACTCATTCCCAATTTAAGCATGAGTGGTGATGTATGTGGAGGCACAGCCTCATAAATTACTGGGGAAAATTGATAGATTCATTACAGAGGTAATGATTGGCGTATAGAGACAAAATCCTTTCAGTAATAATGTCTTAGTTTTTATTATTGACTTCTGTGAAAAAGTAAGGTCTGATTCTAAAGAGCTTCTGCATGTTAGGTCTGAAGTGTACTTGCTTTTAACGATGCGTGTGCGTGTTAAAAATGGCTGCCTCGTGTAACTTGCATTTATTTGAATCGTCGTTTGTGCCCATCCCCTGAAATTAACACGACACGTTCAAACGCAAACAAGTCACCAGTAGGCGGAGTTGACAAAATGAGTGAAACACACTCGCCATGTTAAATCGGTCTCAGGTTCAGAGGTCTTTCATGCGATCTACTATACAGCTGCCGTGATCTCAAAATTAACCAGTTAATGATCTTGATGCCATGTTTGTTTTGGTTATACCCTACAAACCCAGGACTTTATCTGGTCTGAGTTCTCTACTGAGCCCCTAGTGGAACACTCCAGTACTACGTGCAGTGCAGCAGCGTGTGCATGATTTTTCAACCTGCTGCCTGCATCAGCGCGAGGTTAAAAATCAACTATATTCCAGGCCTCGGGGTGATAGATTTCGGATTCATTTATAGGTTTTCTGAGTAAATGGCTCTCCAAAATGTACATACAAAGAAACTCCGGTGTTCTAAACAGTTTGAAGACAGATGCAGTCTTTTCTGATCCTCTTCTCTAATAAAGGCATAAACTACAGATGCGTTAGCCTCTAAAGGCACAGGCGGAGTAAAATGTGCAAAGGTCATTGTCACATAAACTCAAACTTACCCTGAAATATCAAAATGTGTGGCCTTAAAACGCCTTTTTTGATGCAGTAGTGTATTACTACATAGTGAAAATATAAATACCTACCTGAGTACTCAAGTACTCATTTTTTATACGTTGTATAATATTGTATTTATTTATTGTCCCAACATCTTTTGCTCTTAATTTAGGTGTGTGTGTGTGTGTGTGTAATGGGAATGAGGGTGATGTGGGGTCAATTTAATCTATAAGGCACTTTGAGCTGCATTAACTGTATGAAAAGTGCCTTTAAGTTTAGGTTCATGCAATAAAAACCTAAACCATTTCATTAAAACAAAGGAAACAAAACCCTCGTTTGGTCATCAGACATCAGGTGTGCCCTGTCGGTATGCATCAGTGGGATTGTGACAACTGTGGCACCTGATTAAAACTGAAAATGTCAGAGGAAAACAGGGCCGTCTGGTGTCTGCAGCGGTTCCATTTACCATTAGAATATATTTGAGTAAATGTTGGCTGAAGTTCAGAAGTGGGAGTTGGTCAACCTCCCATTTTTGCCCACTAATATCAAGACATTGTTCTCATAACTTGGCTGCTCTAGATAATAGACTGAGCCCTCTTTTATGGATCGTCCCCAACAGTTACAGCAGTGATCTTTAAAGCTGAATGTCAAATGAGCCAGAAGCTCATTTTCCATTTTTCCACAATTATCTCAGCTCCACATAAAAGGAAATTGAGTCTTTTCTTCCTAAAATGTATTTAACTTTGTTTGAAGAAAACAAAAGATGAGAAAAACAAGTCGTATCCATCAAGCTGTGATTCATGAAAACAGATTGACTTGTTCTTTTGATTATTTTTGGGGACGGAGGTGTGGAGTGAAGAACGAACCAACGAATGACGGCTTTATGTACCATAATGAGCGTGTTGCTCCGGCCTGTTGCTGTAAATCAGAAGCTGAGCCAAAGCAAAGCTCTGGATTTTCTGATCTCTCTGTATTCAGTCAATTTCCTTTGGTTGGAAGATTTGGATCATGTAAAAAAAAAGATCTTAGATGAAAAGTTCTGAATATAAAGTTGCTCTGGCAACCAGTTGGACCAACCTTCATGATCCTAAATGGCGAGTTCCATCATTGTGAAGGATTAGACTAAAAGGGAGTTGGCTGAATATGTTCTCACATCTTGCAGGTTTCCAGTCACATCCCACTGGGACATGGCAACTACAGAGTAGACCCAGTACTTGTTAGAAAGATGATTTTCTCTCTCTGGACTGCATCACTTTGGATCCCTCGAAGGAGCAGGAGAGTGTCACAGGAAAAAGAGATGTCTGGGTTCTCCCTCCTGAATCTCTCACTTCCATCACGTGGCCTTGGATAAGTGGAATAAAATAGATGGGATGGATTACCTCAGTGCTGTGAAGCAAGGTAGACAAATCAGGGAAATCATACAGATGTAGCTTGCTGCTTGGCCATTCGGAAACAAGGTTGACAGTGATGGCTTCGCTGATGGCGTTTTCTTTTTTGATTATCAACAAAACTGCTCCTTCAATGGTTTCAGTTTAAGACGGAATCCCTAAAACACCACCGGGAAAAGGAATTCTCACTCGTATTGCCACACACAACACTAATATGGAAAATGTGTGTTGCTGGGATTTATTTGACTCAATAGACAATTAAAGAAGATTAAAAAAAAACAAGCATTTGTAAAAAAAAAGACACCAGAGGTGGCTTCTTATGACCCTCCTACCTTTGGAGGCTGCTTTGTGAGAAAGATCGGCAGCATGTCTGACAGTTAAAGGAGTTCAAATATTTGACACTCGAGTGAATCGTTCTTTCATGTCTGTCACAGAGGTGTAGCTCTGAAGAGGGTTGTCATTGCAAGTCCTTGTCACACACACACACACACACACACACACACACACACACACACACACACACACACACACACACACACACACACACACACACAAAGAGGCTGGTGGAACAATGCAGTCCTCTAGCTATGAATTATGTCAACCACTGAGTTGTTTTTCATTTAAATTAGCCGCTCCTCTTTTAGTAAACCAGCCTATTACAGTTCCTGGTTATCTGTGATGTTTTTGTAATTGGAAACTAAATTGTTCTCCCCTAGTATGAAATTGCTTTAAAGCCTAAGTGGATTTTATTAATACCACATGCTTGGAGGTGAAATTAAAATGCAACAGAAATGTAACCTCGTTGCTTGTGTGTTCTCATCAGAAGTTAAATGTTTGTGCACGCATCTCGTTTCGGGATCTTCTGTACAAAATGCGGCGTTTGGATTGAAAAACTTTAGGGATAATTTATGAAACACGTTTTAGAAAAAAAGCAAACTAACAGCTTTATAATTTGCATTTAAAAGAAAAAAATGTCTTCCTTTACCTTTTTCAGTACAGACATAAACTTGTAGAAAAACAGACATTGTGCTTTATTTACGCAGCAGTTAGTAACCTTAAGTAAACTCCTCCAGTAAATCCACTCCTGAAAGTTTGTGATGTCCATGCTGTGCAGCCTCAGCTAGCCCTGCAGGAAGCTGTATACCTGTAATGATGTATCTGAAACCACTCCAGCAGACTGTTTCCTGTTCTTTACTTGTCCATAACTCCCTCTTGGTCTGTTGTTCCTTGCCCTCCATCACCATCCTGACATATAGTCTTTCTTCTTCCTCCTTAATCCATTTTTTGTCTCCTTGTCTACCCCCCCTCCTGCCCCATCACCTCTATTTCCATATGGCTAAGCTGTGGCCTCAAGGCCTTCAATACCCTGTTGTTGTGCGATGGCCACTCCTTTGGACCTGGCGCCACTTTAGGATTAACGTTATCTCCATCTCTGTCACTTCCTTATCTGTTTTCCAGACTCTTGAAATAAAGCCTGACCAGGCGTGTGATGTACTTCAGATTACCGGAGGCGGGAGGCAGGTATGGAAATCCTCTGCCGATTAGATGCCCTTCCTCAGTCTGAGGGGGATGTGCACCGACTGCTGCCAAGCATCTTAGAGATACACTGATGCACTTTAAATCTCAGAAGAAAAGGGGAAGTTTGCCTGCTTTGATTTTCTTCTTCACTTTCAATACTTCTTTTGATAGAATACCTTATTTAGAGTTTTTTTTGGTAAAACTTTATATTAAATGGCATTATTGAGATAGACACCAACATAATAGACATAAAAGCATCTCAGAGCAAGCAGTGAATTACTAATTACTAAGTGCACCAGAAAGACAAGTCAGGATTACTTTGCAGAGTTTATTTTGAAGGTATTGTGTTTAGTCTGGCGTTTTATTTTTCAGTACTGCATGAGGCCACATGTTTTGGCACTTTTACTAGAAAAAATTATTTTATTGAATATTGCTATCAGAAAGCCAGATAAAACAAGTGGAACAAAAAAGATAATAAATTCTCATGTTCAATTTCTCCATTTTAATAAAGGGCACACATCATGCATTTGTGTAATTTAGTGATTTAGCGCCAAAAACAGATTTTTGTTGCAAAGTGAAAAGCTAATGTAGCTTGTGTTGTATTAAATTTGAAACCCTACATTTTGTTCTTATTTGGTTCAGATTAATAAATTAAACTTGAGCAAACAGTGTTTAATTTACACCCAGAAAAGCACAACAAAACCAATAAATAAATAAATAAATAAATAAAACAATCAAGATGCTACTTGGTTAAAGAACTAAAGACAGTTTTGACGCATATGTTGAAGCTACATGGGGCTGATCTGCCCTCTAGTGGCTGACTGCAGTATAAGTCATTAGTCCCGCCCCTCCACCCAAACTGATGAGACATTTTCTGACTAAAATTATACCTATTAGTTATTATTTTGAAGTTTTAATAAAGTAACACAAGTTTAATGCAAAATTTCTGGCTTCAAAAACACATCAATGGCTGTAAATGTGTTCTTTTGGCTTAAGATTTAAACAACACTAACGGGTGGAGAACTTTGGTTGAGTTATTTTAAAGTCCCAATGTGTGGAAAAATGACTGGCTTAAAAAGCGCAGTATCTCATCAACGACTTTTAGCTTTGAATTTAGTGATCAGTTCAGTTCTTTTAATTTGTTTTCTGTTCTGAAGTTTATCTAAATATGTGCTGAGTAGGGATGAGCGAGTACACCACTATCTATATCTGTATCTGTTCAACCATCTATAAATGATCTGTATCTGTACTCGGAGTGGGCGTGGCCTAACCCGGAAGTGGGTGTAGTTTAACCGGAAGTGGGTGCGGTTTACATCAATACATTATTTTAAGTCTGAAATTGTTATGGATTGATCAGAAGTTGCTATGTGTATTGTTTATTTGAAAACTATTCACAGAGCAGCCTCAGAATTGAGACAAAATATGTTTGATCACAATAGTAAAGGAACTATTACAGAACAAGTGTTTCAATAAAATCAGAACATCAATATTTAAGTGCATGAATTAATACATACATACAGAGAGAGAGAGAGAGAGAGAGAGAGAGAGAGAGAGAGAGAGAGAGAGAGAGAGAGAGAGAGAGAGAGAGAGAGAGAGAGAGAGAGAGAGAGAGAGAGAGAGAGAGAGAGAGAGAGAGAGAGAGAGAGAGAGAGAGAGAGAGAGAGAGAGAGAGAGAGAGAGAGAGAGAGAGAGAGAGAGAGAGAGAGAGAGAGAGAGAGAGAGAGAGAGAGAGAGAGAGAGAGAGGAAGAAAACAAAACCCGACCGGAGCGGAGGCACCACGGCACCATGTATATATATATATATATATATATATATATATATATATATATATATATATATATATATATATATATATATATATATATATGGTTTTAGACCTAATCAACGCTCAACTTTATCTTTTTTATTTATTTATTTGGTCTGATTGAGGGGATCCATTATGAAGGCCTGAGGATTGGGTCTGCTTTTTGCAGATGACATGGTCCCGTTCATCAGAACACGATCTCTAGCTTTCACTGGAGCGGTTCGCAGCCAAGTGTGAAGCTGCTGTGATGAGAGTCTGCTCCTCTAAATCCAAGGCCATGGTCTTGAATCGGAAAAGGGTAGAATGCCTTCTCCAGGTCAGGGATGAGGTCTTGCTTTAAGTGAAGGAGTTTAAGTATCTCAGGGACTTGTTCACAAGTGAGAGAAAGATGGAGTATGAGATCGATAGGTGTATTGGTGCTGCGTCTGCGGTGATGCGGGCGTTGTACCAGTCTGTCGTGGTGAAGAGAGAGATGAGTCAGAAGGCAAAGATCTTGATTTACCAGTTGATCTACACTCCTACCCTCACATGTGGTCACGAGCTTTGGATAGTGACTGAAAGAATGAGATCATGGATACAAGCAGCTGAAATTAGTTTTCTCTGCAGGGTGTCTGGGCTCTCCCTTAGAGATAGGGTGAGGGGCCCGGAGTAGATCTGCTGCTCTTACACATACAGAGGATCCATTTGAGGTGGCTCAAGCATCTAGTTAGGATGCCTCCTAGACGCCTCCCTGGTGAGGTTTTCCAGCCACGTCCAATCGGGAGGAGACCTAAAGGAAGACCCAGGACACGCTGGAGGGACTATGTCTCTTGGATGGCCAGGGAACACCTTAGGATTCCCCCGGAGGAGCTGGCTCAAGTGGCTTGGGAGAGGGAAGTCTGGGCCTCTCTGCTTAGGCTGCTGCCGTCACGACCCGACCTCGAATAAGCAGAAGACAATGGATGGATGGTCTGATTGCATTGGTGAAAATCATTTTGCAAAATTGTAAAAAGGATCACAGTTGGTCATCATGCACACCTATTTAAAAGTGCACGTTGTGTCAGAAAGCATTTTTATCATAGAGCATTTCTGTGGGAATAAAAATACTATTACAGGATCCACACATGGGTATGGGTATGATACTACACAGGCTCCTCCCCCTTGAGAGCAAACATCACTGTTAAACACATCAATTATAAAAACAGCTGCTAATGTAAACAAAGGGTTTCTTTGTACTTGTTGACCACATAACAGACTTCACAAGTAACTGTATCCATTTACAGGTAATAGAACCAGGTCAGAACTTTTAACCTTCACTTCTCACATCGTGTTTTTCACTGACCTTTTTGTTATAGACCGTGCTGCTCGAAAGGTTCTGCAGCTTGTGAGGAAACAATAGGAACAAACCCCTTAAAGTAGAGGCAAAACTGTGTGTAGCCTCTTAAAAATGGTTTCTGTAATTTGAAAAATTACTTTTAACAATAATGTACTTTACAATATAGGTGTGTCAATTTAGAATTCCTCTGAGAGATTACCTTTTTTCCTCTAAGTTTGTGATTAAATGAAAAAGCACACCCACACACACCCACACCTATATATATACATATATATATATATATTAGGGCTGGGGGTAAACGATTATTTTTAAAACGATTATTCTGACGATTATTTTATCGAATAGTCGACTATTCTAATGACTATTTAGAAAACTAATCTAATGATTATTTTTCTATTGCACAATTAACAAAAACCAGAAAATCTCAAATAAATTCCTCAAAAAAATTGATAAATTCTTACTGTAAGAGAATAAACACTACAGGCCTTCCATTTTGTATAACACTGCGTTTATTGTGTTGGTTGGTTATGTTCTGATGACGTGTAGATCTTGGGAGTGCAGGCTGCTGCCTGAGAGGTGGTAGAAGATGGAGTGTCTCCATACTGCTTTGTTTTGGTCACTTATGTGCGTGAGGCGAGTGGTGTTACGGGTTAAACCAAACTCAGGTGATATTTTACACTAAACCGAAAACCCACAACACTCTAAATGTAATAAAAGGGAGATCTACACCACAAAAAAGATGAACTCTAAACCAAAACGTAACAGCTTATCCCAACGCAAGAAGCTGTTAGCGAAGATGCTAACAGTAGCTTTACCAACGTTAAGTTCAAGTTACCAAGTTTAAATAAACCAAAAACACCCAGCAGCAAACAGACCAGCACAGAGGAGAGACTGCTACCACCAAAACAGCTCTCCTCATGTCTGAAAGAAGCTCCTTTATTAAGGGAGAAGCGCTCCCGGTGATTTTCTACATCTGCGATAGACACGAAGCAGCGCATCTGACCCCGGAAGTTGTTGTCCGTTGCCGGGAGACGAAGGGGCAAAACAGGAAAATAATCTAGTAGTGGACGGACATTGTTCCGGGTCTTCGGTATTTGGCGGAGATGTTAGTGAAGGCGGAGAAGAGGGCGAACTAGAGGAAAAACGGGCAGATTCCTCCTCTATTTACAAACTCCTGGGGATGCAACAAGTGGGCGCGGTGCGTCGACTTCCGGATCTGACGTCGACAAATTTTTAGAATCGAGCCGTCGACTTCGTCGAGGCTTCGCTACAGCCCTAATATATATATATATATATATATATATATATATATATATATATATATATATATATATATATATATATATATATATATATATGCATTCATTGAATACAGATAGATATAATGTTGTTTCGGTTCAGGTTGTGTGGATTGGACCAATAAGGCATGCAGTGATGTTAAAGTATAGACCTAGACATCCCATTAGATGGTTTACACATTTCTTTAAAAAAAGTAAAACAACCTGCTGCGGATGGCATAAAACAGGTCTTCTGTACAAAGTCCAAGTTCTCCGTCACTCTGACTTTGGTTTCACATCATGAAAATTTATAGTTCCAGCCATTGCCTGTCCCGTAAGTCTTCAGCACGATTTATGCGACCCATTTTTTTAAGTTGTCGATGAAGAAAAAGGAAACAGCAGAAGACAAATAAGCTGGTGGAAACTGGAAAGTCAGAGGCGGAGAGGGTGAGAGAGGGGTGACAGAAGGATTTAGTATCTAAACTTAGGACCAACATATTCAGGTGTTCTTTGCACATATGTCACACAGAGAACAGGAATATATACATTTATTTATTTAAACCTAGGTTTTCTCTTCCGGCTGGCTATATGACTCATCCACCTGTC